GCCCTTGGGCCTCTTGTTTCTTATTAAAACAGTTTTCATGAATGACACCTTCACTTGTAAATGTAAACTAATTTTAGGGTACTTAAAACAAACACAAATTTGATGCATTGATTGATATATATATTTTTTGACTGATTTTGATTTGAAATGACATGAATAATAAATTATATAAAGAAATCGTAGGTTTTCCTTAGGTGATTAGATACTGAGTATGAAACTTTGTTTTGCTTTCCGTATTGTTCCATATAAAACTATGCATCAATTTTTAACCTTATGACAAAATTTCACAAAATTCTGTCACTATACATGGTAAACATTTATAAGGTTATCAATTTTAATATATATCTGAGAAATATTGCTGATTTCTGAAAAAAAAGTCTGCTTGTGTTATTTATCCGTAACCTAACATTTTCCGCTGTGGTACTAAAACATATGTGGTCCAAAATTCATTGTTAATGTTATAATAGCTCTCCTTCTAACATTTATATATATAATTATTTGTGTGTATTAACATATAAATGTTTTAACCTACATGTATATATATATATTTATATACAAAACATACGTATAAATTTGTCATTTATAAATTATTTAATGTTTTGTTTATTCTTTGATTATAAAACAATCAGATAATAATTTAAGGTGAGTTATTAAATCATGTACTTTTCAGCTGATATCTAAATAAATCTGTCATGACTTTATGAGTTTAGCAGTGATTTTCACTCGGCATCTGTTTTCTAACAAAATGAAACCACGGCAATAGCAGCCCCCCTTGGTCGACATTTTAAAGTCATTTTTAAAAACTTTTCGTGTTTTACACATACCCTCTGGTATACTGCATTGCAAGATAATTAGTCTACCGGGTGGTAATGCTGCACTAACCATTAAACCAGAGCCTTGTAAATTTTTTTGTGTGAATAGTCGACATCAATTAACCAGACTTGAGGTAGATGTATTACGAACTAACGCTCCAAATCATAGTCTAGGTCACCTACACGTTTGTTGTATCGATGCGGGGTCAAACGACTTGCGTGACCTAGGCTATCCAAATCACTGTACAGTGTATAATAGATTTGTTTTTGCACTGAGCAGATAAATTTGCATTATGCAAGTAGTTGTAGAGTGTTTGGCAGTCATAAGTCAGGGGTCAAAGATACCTAATACACTGTAATGTGATGTTAATTTTAAGTTATGCCTGGTTATCTTTTCACCTTTGTTCTTGTGTTAGTTGAAATTAAGCTATGATTGTTTGAGAATTAAATAGAAGTTTGTAATCGGGATTTCTAAGATAGACATGCAAATATTTTACAATTCTTATCTTAATGCAAGGATTAAATTTAGTAACCGATATTGTAGGGTTATGCAATAGCTGTTCTGCAGTGTTTTTGAGGATGGGTGTTGACCGGTTTGAGTTGATCATTTCTCTGATAGTAGGATCAATCTCTGAGATAGAGTGACCTTGCTTTGATAAATGCATTTTGAAATCATTAAGTGTTGCATCTAATAGGGTGAGTACTGATTAAATTCTTGCAAGTCTAAAGCAATCTTTTTTAATGAATCATTTAAAGCAGCTAGTTTATAGGCGGTTTGTCTGTGTAGATTCTGTAAGTTATTTTTGATGGTTTGATAATTGACTTTAAACATGTATGAATTTAAATTTGCTTTGTCCTGTGTAAAGTGGAGTGAGAACAAACTTCACAGGTGATGGCGAAATTTCAAATGTAAATCTTAAATATTTTATTTTCCCCATAAAAATAGAATTTTAAGGCTCTGAAACCCAAAACTTTTAGGAATTGAACAAAATTAACAAGGGTCATTCAAAAATTCTACATTTGTTTTGTAAATTTTTCCCTGTGTGCGTCACAGTGTCTCTTTAATATGTACATGTAAGTTTATAGGGACAATATTGGCATCTCGCGTTGCGATATAATTTTTTATAACATGTATAATGAGTTGTTATTTCCTAATGCTGCATTGACTATCAAACAGAGTGCTGTAAATGTTTTAAGCTATTTTTGATAAGAAGTATACATTTTTTAAATTTTCATATTTGATTGAAGTTTTTGTTTCTAGTTAAGAAACTTACGTCGTCGTCCATAAGCTCAGCTAGGCAGTTTAAACATTTTGGGTTCAGATACTGTGGTAGTTTTTAGATTCCAGTTTGTGTTAAGTGCTTCTAAAAATACTAGTCCTTGTTTATGACGACAATTGTTTTCCGTTTATCTTGATTTTGTTTTTTAAAGAATAAAAAAACTTCGGAAATCTTCATTCTCTTTTTGACAATTTATATTGAAGAAATTTCCAATTTTGTGTTATCTTTATATTTCTCGAGTTCGCTGCATGAAATTAGCGGATTGATGCCAATTTTTTTTTTTTTTTTTTTTGATAGGGCGGATTAAAAATTTTTTTCTCCGGTATCAAAGTGGAATTGATTTATATGTGTCTAGATTTTTCGCCAAGGCACAGCAGGTGACAAATATTGTATATAACAAGGCGCTAAAGATCACCTATGTACCGAAACCCATTAGTGCCAACTTGTATATATATAAAGGAAGAACAATATTAAAACTCAATATATAAAGGAATTGTGAAATAGTAACACCAAAAAACCTCCATATATATAAAGGAAATACCAAATATATAAACAAAACATCGATATATGTACATGTATATAAAAGTGAAATATATAAACAAAAGCTCGAAATAAATTTAAAAAATCTGCGAAATATATGAGAATTTTTCCAAATTCTTTCGAATAAGACTGTTTGCGGATGACACATCCTTGTTTGTTAGTACTGATGCCGACAGTTATCTAAGCATTATCCCTTACTACTGACCTTGAAAAAATAAGGCAGTGATATCATTCATGACTACTTTAATTTGACCCTAAAAAGACCATAAATGTCAATTTTACTAGGACTCATAGACTACACACAAAATTTCATTGGGGAACACAATGAATATAATTTCCCAGAATCAAAGTTATTGTCACCATGGACTGACATTTCAGTTTAAGGTGGAATATCCCTCTGATAAGAGAGATAACTCTTCTAATAAGAGAGATAACTTTCTTCAGACATTTTGTCATGAAATTCAGTGAGTTGTCATATCAGAGTTTACAAGTTTCCTTCAGAAAGACAATTTTATAGTCAACTCAATCAAACCTATTCTATGGTACAAGTGTTGATATCTAGTTTCTATTGCTAGTATATTGATTAATTATTTATAATAGTTTACTTAAAACATTTATACTCAGTTCCTTTAAACGGTGTAAATTGAAAAATCTCTATCTCTTAAAGTATAGTTCTTTCAATTGTACAGAAATTTCAGATGCAGTATTGTTTATAAACATTTGATTAATATTTTGTTTCATTGAAAAATATTGTCAAGGGCGATAATGGAACGATAACTCCTGTTTATGGATGCGTGTTATTTTACATGCACAGAAAACAATTTGTTATTCTGATTTAAAAAGCAGCGCTTCAGTATGTTTTCTAATGGGAGTTAGATAGGTATGAGAGTAAATATTATTTTTATATATACCTCATATTTCTTATTTAATTGTGAGATAAAAAATAATTGATCTTTCTGTTTACCATATCAAATTTTCTTCACATCATGGTTTGACATATTATTCATTTCTGAAAAAGTAAGCAACGCTTCATACTTCAAACTATTTTCCATTTGAATTTAATGCTATAGTTGTTGCTAAAAATCAATGAGTCGTGAAATTTGGAGCAGAGGGATATTGCCCCTTAATGGGGGTTATTCTGAACATATAACAACAATCTATGAAAGAGTTTGTTTAGGACTAAACATGTCGGCAACACTAAAATATAAATTAAGAGGGATCCCTTTAACATACTTATCATTTGTTGGGATGTGGTATGGGATAGTGTGTAGGTGGAAGCTGCAATAATAATTTCAAACATTAGGTGTAACACATCAAAAGAAATCTATATAATGAGTTGGGTGAGAAACTTTAAGTTCAAGAGGAAAAATGATAAGCTCACACTGATGTATAAAATACACAACAATCTTACCTCTGTTTATATGAATACTATGCTTGAAGAATGTGTGCCAATCCAGCATACTTATAATCTATGCAACTAAAATTCATATCGATTCCCAATTATTTTAACACTAAAAGAAAACCCGTATGGCAGCATAGCGAAGGTAAAATTTTCTAAAATGCAAATTTATCAAACATGTTAAACTGATATCCGAAAGTAAGACCTTCTCAAAAGAAAAAAAATTTAAACAAAAATGAAATAATTAATATGAAACCCTAGCAATACTTGTTAAAAAGTTAAAGTTGACTTTTCTTAATGGTAGGTCAAACTCTAGGGCCAAAGTCAAAGGGTCAAGGTTGTTGGTTTATAAGAAGGACCTTGTAACAAAGATAACATATGAAAAGCCCTTAACGTTCACAAGTTATTGCCAAAGTTGAAGCTTTTAAAAAGGTCAAATTCTGAGGTCAAAGAGTCAAAGTTTCTAAGAGAAGGTCAATCTCAAAGGTAAAAGTCAAAAGGTGAAAGTTTTAGTTGTCCTATTGAATACTAGTATCTTGTCACAAAGAGTACATATGTGATTAATAAAAGCCCTAGCACCAACCGTTCAAAAGATATTGCCAAGGTTAACTTTTTAAAAAGTAGGCCAATATCAAAGGTCAAAACGTCAAAGTTGTAAATATCCAATAGAAGGTCTTGTCACAAAAAAATACATTTAAAATTTATGAGTAAGGTTAAAGTTTTATTCTCTCTCTTTCTCTCTTGGAAATTCCGAAGTTCCACTCCAGCTTGTAGCCTTTTTCCAATGTATTACATATATAATCATTATCATAAAAGTAACTCGATCCGAAGGATTGTATCTCATTGAATTGACAGTGACAAATCATCATTTTGATCCGCGAAAGTCTAAGAGAAGTGAAACTTCTCTTTGGATCACTTTGCTATTACATACGGTATATAATGATGCATATCCCTCTATAATAAGCAAATACAATGTATAACAAAATAAACTTCTGAGACCAATTATAAACTTTTCATCTATTAAACAGGGCATATTGCTGGGTTTATTTTTCAATTTTAATGTATTAAACACAAGAAAAGTGACGTCAGATTAATTGTTGTCTAGCAAGGGCATCAGTTTTAGAGAGTTGTAATATGGATTCAGAAAACCACAGTGATGATTCAGAAAGTTGGATCACACTGTCACGTGATTGCGTAAAATCTACAGTAAAATTGAGTTTTACACAGTTGGTATATAAGAAAAATATTTAACGGAAATGTTTTATAACTCTTAGTATGCTTAGATTTAAAGGATTTTCAGTATTTTAACAACTTAAACTGTTTAATTGATCTTTCAGACAGCGGGGGGATCAAAGTTTAATAATTCCCTTACAACGACAGAATCACAAATGCAGGAGCCGATTACTGAAGCTGAGACCGGTTTCATTGTTCCTGTTCACTTAGAGGCGGAAGATACGTCATTGCTAGTAATTATAGTTATCATAACAGTGTTTGGAGTTCTGGCCAACCTGACAACAACTGGGATCGTTATTCATTTTAGACAATTTCATAAACCTACCTACATGGTCATAGGAACCTTAGCATTTGCGGATTTTGCGTCTCTGATCCAATATCTATGTCACCTGATTCTTGCATCGATCAACAGATATCGTGTCGATAATTATGGATATATTTTTATGACGGTCATCTACACAACAGCGCATGCGTCAGCATCACACGTAGTGCTATTGTTTGGATTGAGGTATTATTTGATAGCTATGCCTCATCGATCAAAAATGATCAGCAAACGTCATGTACTGACGTCATCAATTTTAATGTGGATTTTCAGCGTGATGTTTGGAGTTATTTATTATGTTGCGAGATTTCACGTGGCAAGAAGCAAGATAGCCGTTGTAGTACTGGTATTCAAGAGTTATCTTCTTTTTGTTCCATGTATCTTTATACTTCTTTTTCATGTGACAAAAATTTACAAATTAAGGACGTCTATTAGTAGATGCAGAATGAGTCAGTACGTTCGAAGGATGTGTACGATGATTTTTATCATTATGGTCATTTACATTTTTTCTGCTATCATATTCCCCATTACATTTTCTCTAAACTTTTTCAAAGTGCTCAGCGAACGTGAAAGCAAAGCGATTCAGATTTTTGCACGATTTATTTGGCTTTTTAACTTTTCAGTCAACCCCATCATTTATTTTATTTACAATCCAAAGGTCAGACATCATGTTTCTTTACGTTGGCAGTCGATCTCAATTTTACGTAATTGAAGTCGACATTCAACCATCAAGATAATACTGAAATGACGATTTCTTGAAATTTTCGAGCGCTAGCTACTATCTTTTTAGTTGACATGAATAACTTGAAAACTACAGACAGTTTTGCTAGCAAACTTTTATTTCAAATCTTATCTATTGACATCGAATAAAAATAAAACACATGGTTCATATAATGAAGAGAAATGAAGCAAAATTAAGAATTTCTTATATGTTTTTTGAAAATATCTTATTCCTACTTATTGTGATAATTGATATATAAAACAATATTTTTTTAATAAACTTTTCTTATATGATCTACAAGTTCTTTTTTTTATGAACTCAACTAAAGGTAAAAATAAAACGATACTCAGGTTTGAGATCGTTTGACCTGTTTTTTTATTAAAGTTTTTAAGACAACTGATTTAAAAAAAATTTCTACAAGTACTACATATGACTAATTTTAATAAAATTGACAACACATCTCTGACGTACAAATAACGTAAGTCCTTTTGAAATGGTTGTCAGTCTTTCTCGATATAGAGGGGTACTTAATCATTGATAATTTTTACAATGTTCTATTTGTTACATGTTGTAATTACATGTATATTAAAAGTTGTTAACGATTAACCCTTTTTGTCATACACCAATATCTTAGTAGGCCCAATGTAACAAAATACTGTTTTAAAAGTAACGTTTATTGAATATTTTCATGCCACATCAAATGTGGGTAAGTTTGAGTTTGTACTATATATTCTGCTTTTCTCCAGCTTCTGAAGTATGTGGGGTCCTTGAAAAAAAATACATTACCTTTTGAGGGAGGCGTAAGAGAAACCCAATATGCATTTTTTCAAGGACCTCACATATTTTCCGTATTACCCCTCTAAACCTCGTCTCAGAAATTTTCATACGTAGACCATGCTCTCATGCTCTTGCGTATCTAATCAAGTGGGATACAATAACTCCGCATGCAGGATATGAAGGTATATTGCTACATAAGTGAGGGGAAATGATGATAGAAAAGTTAAAGTCATCATATGAAATGAGCAACAACTGCAAGATTTTCAGAGAAAACGTATTTTGTAATTTATACATATACATTTTTTTTTGTAGTCTTTAAATAGAATATGCATATCTGAGGTCCAGCAACAAACCATCATATGAAAATCTGTGAAATCTTTAAATATTCTGGGAAAAGAGTGGGGGTGGGGGTTACAGTGTGTAGTTTTAAAATGAATCTGTTGTCTTTACTTCATTTATTTTAACCGTAAGTCACCAGTATTCAATCTGTTGACCTTACTTCATTTAATTTAGTCGTAAGTCACTTGTATTTATAATACAGTGTATCTTAGTTTTTGGAAAATTCGTTGGATAATTTTTTTTAATGCTTTATTTCCATGCTTTTAACACAACCATCAACTACATTTATCAAAATTGCACAGAAAATTTTTCACACCCACCCACTTTTGCACTTCACTCATACTTACATCAACAATACATCAATTTTTGCAAATTTTTACACACTTTATATGGATAAAAAAAAAAGGGGGGGGAAGTATGCTACATTTGATCTAAATATTTTTTTTTTTTTTAAAAATTCCGTATAATTCTAATGTATCAAGCGCAGCATACAAAGAACCTGCAGAACCATCAAGGGCAAGAGAAGTATCATCAGCAAATTGAGATAATTTGTGTTCCTTATTATTTACAACAATACTCTTTATATCATGATTTTGTTTAATAAGAATGGCTAAAATTTCTGCACAGAGAAGAAAAATGTATTGAGAAACAGGGTTTCCCTGGCGACATCCACGCTGGACTGGAAATTGCTTAGAAAGAAAACCGCTTTGGAGTATAGAAGCTTCAAAATTTGTGTTTAAAATTTTAATCCATTTCATTATATTTTTACCAAAACCAAAAAAGTGTAAAACCTTATAAACAAAGGACCATGAAATGGAATCAAAGGCCTTCTCAAAGTCAATGAGAACCAACAATCCAGGTTTATTATTAATTTCGGTATAAGACATAAGATCATAAATATATCGTGTGTTTTCCCCAATATATCTCCCTTTCATAAATCCTGTTTGTGTTTCTGAAATTAGAAGATCGAGTGTAGATTTTATTCTATAACTAATACAACCAGATATTAACTTATAGAATACGTTTAATATAGTTATTGGTCTTCAGTTTTTTAAGAGATGTCTTGGCTTGTCTCCTTTTGGCAAACAAGATATTATACCAAGTCTCTGGGATATTGGAAGCTGTTTCTGAAGAAATATTTGATTTATTGCTTTTAAGATAAACATTTTAAGATCAATCCAGAAAAACGTAAAGAATTCAGTTGTAAATCCATCACTTCCCGGTGATTTATTATTATTCATATTTTTCAGTACCAGAAAAACCTCCTCTTCTTCTATATCCTTATCTAGGATTGATGTTGTTTTTATGTCTAACTGTGGAACATCATGGTATTGAATAATATTGGAGAAATCTACGTCTATCAATTCAGAATCTGCGTTTTTATATAAAGTTTCATAATAATCTTTGACTTCGTTTAGAATATCAGATTGTTTGTATATAATACCTTTGTCTAGAGTGTCTACCTTTTTTATTGTTTTGTTCAGGAAATTTCTCGACTCAAGATGACAGAAATATTTTGTTGGCTTTTCCCCTTCTTCCACCCACTTGGCTCTAGATCATATTACCTTTTAGTTTTTCTTTTCTTAAATTTTCAAGGGCAGATTTTTTTTTCTTCCAGTAAATAGAAATCAGGAATTGTACTTTTGTTTTCCAAATCCTCTATTTCCTTAATTAATGATTTTTCTAATTTATCTTTTTCTCTTTTTTTGAAAGTTGACTATGATATAGTTAACCCCCTGATTTCCATTAGTAGTATGTCAAAAAATACAGAGTCATCAACTGAAGTCTCTACTTCTACTCCATTTAGGCCCTGAGAATACTGGTTTTTAACTAATTGTATTTTTTGTTTCACCTTTTCAACATACTATATATCTATCATGTAAAAGATTATTGTTAAATTTCCATAGTCCACGTCCTCGTTCAAATGAATTAAACTTTAACTCAATTGTAACTGAAGAATGATCAGATCTATACCCAGGTTTTATATCAAAATGTTCAACAAAATTAGATAGGTTTTCTGATATAAGGATGTAGTCAAGAAGACCCTGTTTAACTGGCTTTTTTCTTCTCCATGTATAGATTTTCTTATCTGGGTTAAGTATTCTATAATAGTCAACTAAATTCAAATCATTTATTATTTCAATAAGTTTATCTCTGGCTTTTGAGTTATTTACATTTGCATTATTAAATGTGTCTATGTTGGGATTCAATGCCAGATTAAAATCTCCGCACAGGATAAAATAATCATTATCAAATTCTAAGAAATAGTCCCTAACTTTTTCATAAAATTCAGGGCTATCGTAATTTGGGCCATAAATATTAATAATAGTAATTCTGTTTTCATCAACACTTATGTCAAGTGCTAAAATATTACCCTCATTATCTTTTTTCTCCCTGTGGAGCTTTAGTTCAAAATTATTATTGAAAAAAATGGCTACCCCTCTAGAGTTTGACAAATATGAATTAAACACACATTTATAACCCCACTGAGTCTCTACACATGATTCTAAGTCAGTTGTAAAATGGGTATCCTGAAAACAAACTACATGTATAGAATAATTTTTTGTTTTATAAAAGTTTAGTACATCTTTTCTTTTTGATTGTGTATTTAACCCTTGACAATTGACTGTTGCTATTTTTATCGAACCCATATAGGTGTAAAAATAATGCTAAGTACATCACATTCATACTGGCCTTTCATACGAACAATCTCACTGAAAAACATAATACGTAAATGAAAAGGTAAACAAATGAAAGAAAAGAAAAAAAATGAATAGAGAAAAAAAAACAGACAAAAAAGTAAAATCTGAAAAATAGACTTTAAATTGACACTAAAGTCAGCCGTGGATCCAAACTAGTCTCGTTCAACCAGACACTCGGCTGTCTCCGTAAATCTCCGACCAGCCAGAGGGTCTGGTAAAGATACGTGATATCGTTTGTAACGCCAAAACGAGGCTTACCAAAATTCTGGTAAAGTTTTTGATTGGCTGAAAAGAACACACCTCCACAATTTAAACAAATATACATTGTAAATCGGCAGAAAAATAACTTAAAGTTTTAAAAGTTAAATGTCTAAAAGTTATAGCAGTTAAAGAGGAATAATTTTATTATTTATGGTAATGTGAACGGGTTATACGTAAGTGTCTCTGAAAAAAATATCATGTATCGATATTATTTTTTTTACGGAAGCTAAAGTGATAGTAGTGTAGCTACCTGCGGAATACATATTTCTTCGACTGATATTGTAATTACTCGTTGTTATGTCCAATTTTAAAGATCAATTTATTAATATAAACTCACAATCTAACAGGAAAAACATGTATAATATTTGTTTCAAAAAGAAGTCGTCAAAATGTAAACAAGATAGCGCCCTCTGCCGGTAACAAACGCTAATGTGACTCTTTACCAGACTCTCTGCTGGTCGGAGTTTACGGAGACAGCCGAGCGTCTGGTTGAACGAGACTAGGATCCAAACTAGCAGGACTCAAACCGGAAGTTTATGGTGTTACTGTTATTAACAAAGTAAACGATGGCGGAACAGTTTTTCCCGAAAAAATCACTTACTAATTTTGTTGATCTTGTCGTCTAGATCATCTGTTATGTCAAATTTCGTTCTTTTTTCGCTTCCCTCGATTTGTGCGTAAATGGAACCGTTAAAGTACCATGCAGATTCGATGTCTTCTCGACTTAGAAGTTTACTGATAAGTTCCCCCTTTGCTTTTGTCACATCGTCCACCAGTTTCAAACCGTTTCCTAGCTTCTTTATATCTGAACGCTTCCTCATGACTCTGGCCTTGGCATCTGAGTTGATTACTTTAACAATAATGGGCCTTAGCTTTCCTTTCTCTCCCGGAATACGATGCGCTGCTATTATTTCGCGATCTTGGAGTTGTACACCTGCGTTCTCCTGAATAAACTCTTTTACAACCATCTGAGTGTTTTCTTTCTCCATCTCCATAACTCCCATGATCTTAAAATTATATTTTCTGGAGTATTGTTCATTTCTGCTGCTCAATCTGAAAGCTTCACCTGCAATTTTTTCATTCATTTGCACCCTCTGTTTTAATTCTCTAATTTCTTTATTGCTCTCCGCTAATTTCTCGGCTAGTACTTCTGCCCTTGATTCAAGTTTTTCAATATCTCCCGCTGCCTTATCTATTTTTTTTTGAAACTCGACTTTTAATGCCTGGCACTGTTCTTCTACTTCTGCTTTTACACTCTCATCTCTTTCTTTATTGTTTTGTTCTATAATTTTTTTCACAATTGTGGTTACAAGCGTCTCTAACTTATCAGCTTTGACGGTTTTTTTAATTTCAGTTTTTAATTCCACGAGATCTTTTGAAATCTGGGTTAGCTGTTTACTTACGTCTGTCAAAGTGCTTTCGTTGGATAATTTTTGTCTAGACGTTGAAAACTGTTCTTGCGGTGAAAATATAACTGCAAATTTACAAATAACACTTCTCTAAAAAAAAAAAGCAGGCATTACTACATCTATCAATATTTCGGATGCACTTTTTTCAATAAATATGAAGCATTTTATTTATTATCTGGAGAAAAATTATTTATTTTGTTTCAATTTTGATGTGTGTATGGCATTAGAAAATCATTTCATGAATATCAAAGATTGAAAACTGGTGGTAACCATGGCAACCAGAACTTCCTTATAACCCTGATGATCATGGTTGATACGTTCATATTACGATGTCATTGACAAAAGGGAAAATTATATGTAAAAATGAGAAAAATTAATTGGGCGGGTTTTTTTCACGGACCCTTGCAATCCCTTCCATATTAGGTAAAAGTTCCAAGAAAAATAACGTCTCTTTGTTCTTACAGTGAAAAGATTGTGAAAAAAGGACCATGTTTCTGGAACAGATATATGATATACATTAACTAAATAGGAACCTACATATGAAAGAAAAACATCTTAACCAACTTCGAGGATGAGATCTTGCAAAGTTGGTTGAATTGATTAACACGAATTTCACGCCTTAATAGACGTCTGACAAGATAAAAAAAAAAAGCATCTTGATAATCGAGCTAACAATATAAAACAAAAAAAGTCCAGTCTTATAAATTCAGCATTCTGTTGTGTTTTGTGTTTGTTTTGTACTTGAATGGAAGGAAATGAAACTGCATAAAACGACAATGTCTGAAAACAGCGTAGGAAATATTATATTAAAGAATTAAAAAATGCTAAAGTTTAATAAAAGTGTTTTGCAATAACTTGCAATGCAGCTGCCAATCGCTACCAATCGATAAATAAATCCATGCATTGTTTTGTCCAAAGAGATATTTTGATTTTGAGTAAATGTAGATATCATTTTCTAGAAAGAAACTTTGGGTTTGACATTATGAAGATGAAGGTGTTAAAACTAGATTTAATAAGATATCTTGCAAGTACATAAACAAATAATGCCTTCAAATACATTATAAATAGAATACAAAAAAATTTTGACAATTGTTTTGTTCACCAGACGAGTAAAACACATTGGTTTACTAGTATTAATAATAGACATAAATTTGACATTGTTATTCCATGTACTTGATGACTTTAACAACCCCTGTATGATATGACCCTACCCACAACCTTCCTTCACTATCCAGACTTAGTCCACAAGGTCTCTCTAGACCACAATTATCAACACATTTTAAAAACTGCCCGTCCTGATCTAAGATATGAAGACAGTCATTATTAATATCATTGATAATGATTTGACTTTGTGAATCTGTAACGATGTGCATAGGTTGGAATTGTCTGTTCCTCCAGGCTGGTGTACCGTCGTATCGGAATCGGACTCTTTCTGTCTTGTCCACAACTATCACTGTGTTGGCATCGCTATCAGAGGCACAAATATCACCATTGCTATTCTCCTCTATATTAACTCCTATTTTCCCACCTCTAAAAATTTGTTGTTCATGTTCATCTTTATCGATTTCTTTTATCGCCGTCTGTCCATGAAAGCGGACAATTTTGTAATGACTTTGATCTCGAGTACACATACTGACTAGTATATCTCCTGATCTGGTACAACACAGTCCCCAAGGATGCCATCCCTCAGGTAAAGTGATCAGTGTCTCTATCCTCCCCTCTCGGAAAATGTTGATTGTTCTGCTGTTGGCATCACTGTATATCAGTTCTCCCTCTTTGGTCACTGAAATGTCATTAGGAAAAGTTTCACATGTTGCAGTGACCATTTCCTTCACTGACCCATGTATGTCAACACGTTTAAGGGTTTTATCTGAACCACAAACCCAAGCTTCATCGGTTTCAACACAGATAAGTGAACCAAAAGGTTTCATTTCAGATGGAATGCTAGCAATCACTTCAACATTTTCTAATATTTGTCTTACGAATAAAAAAGACTCCTCATCGGTCGGATTTGATAAAGATGTCTGTCTCAATGTAGCTTTGTAATCTGCTAACTCTAGGCTAAGATCGCTCCCCTTGACTGTGTGGCTTTTCAAGGAAGGAATCGTTACATCAACATCTGTATGAATATCCATGAATTCCTTGACTTGTGATTTGTAACTTGTTACATCACTCACTTTATTCGAATTCAGGATATTCTTGTTTTCTTTCAGTATTAGGGCTGTTTTTGTTCCCGAATTCTTGAGCAAGGACTGGTGCGATTTGAGAGCGTTCAGCCTTTTATCTTTCATTGTTTTAATGGTTGATTGAAGCATGTTGAAAATGTTGTCCACTTCTTCATGCCAGGTTTTTCTCAGGTTTTCTCCCTCTCTCTCCAAATTTTCAAATTTTTCTCTCAGCTTGGATATCCTTTGATCCAATTTTGATTCACCTTGGGCAAATTTTGACATAAAAGTTTCGATTTCTCCCGTTTCTTTCTCGATAATTTCTTTGCTCTGTTTTATGATATCTGTCATGTCCACGACAGTATGGCCGCTGTGATCAGATGTGAGGCATTTGAAGCAGACAGGGACATTACAGTGTTGACATTGGCCCTCGCATCTTTGTTTCGGGTGTGAGGCACATAATGGGAATACTAACCGCTCCTCCCTATCCGTGAAAGAAACCATGTCATGTGTTTGAGACTTCAGACTTTCTACATGTTTATAAATGCAGCTCCCACATAAACTGACTTGGCAGTCGTTACAGAATAACTGAGTAGGGTTTTCGCATAGTTCACAAGTAATCACGAACTGTGCCCACGTTGACGACGAGTCCATTTTCAGTTCGCCTATATTAATAACAATACTGACATTTATCTAATTTGTCTCTTTTTATGCTTTATCTTTGGATAGAATTAATTAAAGGTTAAATTACCTAGATTTGTTACCTGTAACTATGAAGTCAAAGTACATAAGATAAAGGGGAATCCCTCGGAAGTTTCAACTTTCGGTTTAGTCCTAGACGAATGAAAAATGGGACGGATCTAAAATTTCTATTGGGATATGATTTGGACACATTTTGAACTGTAGAAAAACAGGAATGTGTAAATCTCGTTTATAGTGTTAAAATTTTATAACTGCATGTAGCATGTCTAAGTCATAGAGAGAGAGAGAGAGAGAGAGAGAGAGAGAGAGAGAGAGAGAGAGAGAGAGAGAGAGAGAGAGAGAGAGAGAGAGAAACAAAAAAATTAACAAAGCAATAAAAATTAAAAAAAATTTCATCTTTCGATGGGGGGGGGGGGATGGGGATGGGGGGGGGGCTTTGTGGTGAAGCCACTTTTCACGAAATATTTAACACCTCCAGTCAGCTAAAGAGGACTTTTGAGAAGTTAAATTTCAAGCACTCATCTGACCTTGATTGACGAATAAAAAATTCCCGTTAATCTAAAGCTCCTCATACCTTGTTAGCATGCATGGTATGATTGGCATTTACTGCAATATTTAAAAATATTCACTTTTTCTAGACTTAAAATTAATATGTTTGACTCACTATTTCTCATTTAACATAAGAAATGAAATAGCAAATTCCATGAAACCTTTTGTGATCCAGTATGCATATTGTTGATGAATCTAAAATAATTGTTATAATTAATTAAACCCTTTACAAATTTACCTGTTTTATTGCAAGAACCTCAATTTATAACGAAAGAAACATCATAGTCTCATTGTACCGTTATGAGTCGCTCTTGGGGAATTAAATTTTGGTACAAAACCCTCTGTACGAATTGTAGGCGAGTTACTTTAGAGACCTTTTTTCTGGACAGTAAAATGTTGCATTTTACATACAGTGTGTACTTCCGACGACCATTGAAGAACAAAGTCTGGATATATATTTAAACATTTATGCATTCAAAGTGATAGTTATTTTATATTTATTATGGTGTATCCTTCGTCTAAATCAGGATACACCATAATAAATATTCAATAATTTCCTTCAAATCAATATAGGCGGGAAGCAACGGGATGGGGGGAGGGGTAGGGTGGAGGGGGTCTGCCCTCCACTTTTTTAGCATAACTTCTCACTAAAAGTATCATAGGAAATATTTATTCAATGGCCGGTTGCTCCCCCCACTGTATGTCACGCTTAAGTGAAATGAAGGAAATGTATAATCGTATAAATAAAATTTGGAGGTGGCTGAAAGAGATCGGACCCCCCCCCCCCCCCACCGAAAGAGAATTTTCGAGTTTGAGAAATTTGAGAAAAATTTCTCTGGCTCCCCCCTCCCCACCGGTGTTATGTCATTGCAAAACGTCAAAAATTATCTCGTCACAAGTTTTCAAGCATGTTTTTTAAGTAATAGTATACCAGTAAAAAAAAATAGTTTTTGTCAGGTGACCCCATTGATAACATCTCCTTCCCTTCAGTATTTGCATTGTAAAATAGATTTTATGTGTATGTTCACGAGAAAGGACGTTTGACTTACAGCTTTCGAACTAAATATAAACAAGGAAAGTTATTGAACAAAAGAAAGTCTTTGGATACCAAGATGAAATTTTCGAAGTGGAAAAAGGGAAATTCAGGTGTTAACCGACATTTTCCATAATTGTAATTTTTTATCTCTGCTATAAAAAATATTTAGAAGTTAAAGATAAGGCTACCACGGACGGATGATTAATCAACTTGACATTTTTCATTTTGCAAACTTTATAAATAGAAAAGTTTGTATAGTGTGTTTGGCTCATTGACAATAACATCTAACCATGTACCTGAATGAGCATATAATTACCATTACGGTAATATTTTGATTTTTTTTTTCGATGTTGTGCAATTTTCAGACATTCCACTGACTCATGTAGACACCATTGCTTCTTCACATTTACAAAAAATATATTTGGTTAGACAAGAAACAATGCATACGCCTTTTAAAGACCTCTTGTTACAAAACAATATTCATTTTGTGAATATACAAATAATCTGAATAAATACAAGTTGAATGATGATAAAAAAAACTTTTGTCACAATTTCCTCAAACCTTATTGTTTTACTCTAATACTATTTCAAAAGGACAGCTTTCAAATTGTCTTTCATACTTTTAATTGCCCTACAAAAATAACCATAGGAAAATCTGTTTCCTTTGCTACATAGAAAAAAAGCCACTCCATGGACATGTATTTTCTTTCATACGAAACAGAGGCCTAATTGAAATATATTTAGTCTTCTGTACGTATGTCTTGCTGGCTAGAACAGATATAAAAGTTAATATAAAACATCTTGAATGTGCATGCATAAAATGTATTCCATTACTTTATTATATTCTATATAAAAAAAATAAATTGCTGATAATGTTCATTTTATACACTGTAAACCTGTATTACACTTAATGTTCATAACAACATATATATTTTATAATTTTATTTCATGTACTGGATGACTTTTACATCGCCTGTATCATACGATGCTACCCATAACCTTCCTTCACTATCTTAACTCAGCCCACGAGGCTTACTAAGACTACAATTGTCAACACATTTTAAAAATTGTCCGTTCTGATCTTAGATATGGAGACAGTTATTTTTAACATCACTAATAATGATCTGGCCAAATGAGTCTGTAACAATGTATACAGGTTCGATTAATCCTGTTGGCTGGTGTACCATCATAACGGAATGGGACTCTTTCCCTCTTGTCCACCACTATAACTGTCTTGGCGTCCACATCAGATGAACAAATGTATCCATTGTTATTCTCCTGCACAACTCCTAAACCTCTAAAAATTTGCAGTCCGTATTCGTCTTTATAAATATCTTGTATTGCTGTCTTTCCTTGAAAGCGGACAATTTTGTGATTACTCTGATCAGGGGTACACATATTAAGGAGTATATCCCCTGATCTGGTACAACACAGTCCCCTTGGATGCCATCCCTCAGGTAAAGTGATCAGTGTCTCTATTCTCCCAGGTCTGACAATGTTCACTGTTCTTCTAAGATAATCACTATAAAGCAGTTCCTCCTGTCTGGACACTGAAATGTCAGTAGGATAAGGTTCATATTTAGTGGTGACCATGTCCTTTACTGACCCATGTATATCAATACGTCTAAGGGTTTTATCTTTGCCATGAACCCAAGCTTCACTGGATCCAAAACATATAACTGAATATAAAGGTTTCATTCCAGACGGAAATGTGGCAAATATTTTAGCATTGTCCAATAATGTCCTCACAGAAAAAAATGGAGACTTCATCTGTCAGACTGGATATAGATATCTGTCTTAGCATAACCTTATATTCTGGTAAATCTATGCTGAGTTCACTTCCTTTGACTGTGTTGTTGTTTAAGGCAGGAATCATTACATCAACATCTATAGGAATGTCTTTGAATTCCTTCAGTTTAGATTTGTGACTAGTAACATCAGTAACCTGGTTAGACTTCAAGATTTTCTTGTTTTCTTTCATAATATTTGCTAATTTTTTGCCTAAATTCTGTAGAGAGGATTGGTGAGATTTAAGAGCCTTGAATCTTCCATTTTTCATTGTCCCAATGGTTGATTGTAGAGTGTTAAAAATGTTGTCAACTTCTTCATGCCAGGTTTTCCTTAGATTCTCTTCCTCTTTCTCCAAACTTTCAAACTTTTGTATCAGATTGGATATCTTTTGATCTATTTTTGCTTCACCCAAGGTAAATCTTGAAATATAACTCTCAGTTACCCCCATTTCTTTCTTGATTTCTTCTTTTATCTTCTTTACAATATCTGCCATGTCCTGGACAACATGGCCGTGGTGAGGACCTGTGAGGCATTTGAAGCAGACAGGGACATCACACTGTTGGCAGTATCCCTCACATCTTTGTTTTGGATGTGAAGCACATGATGGGAATACCAGCCGCTCCTCCCTGTCCGTGAAAGGAACAATATCATGTGTGTGAGACCTCAGACTGTCTACATGTTTATTTATACATTCCCTGTGTAACCAAGCGGGGATGAAGAACGCAGGTTCAGTTTAATAAATTTATTTGGAAATGAAAAAGCAATGGCAGATCTACAAATACAAAAACATATATACAATATCATAATACACATAGACACAGAGACAAAACATTTTTATTTCCTATTCACTTCAGAAATAAGAAAATTTAAGTTTACTAAGCCCAAAAACGTCAATTTCATAGTTTAAAATACCTTTCTCTCAAAAATATGAAAAACACTTGAGCTTATAACTTGGACTTAATAAATAAAATACAAAAATTTAATAAACTAGGAAAATTACCTTTCAAGTGGTGACAACCCAGATAGCATGACTATGTTGGGCCGACACTGGTAAAAGGTTGTATGGTTGGCTTGTGTATATCTACCGGTTATATTTGTTGGAGAATGTTACCATGTCAACCTTCTCAGGACTATGACATATACTTTGTATGTTGGCCCAGCGTTACTCCAACAGCTAAGCAACTTCCATTCACTTTACTTTCCAAGGATGGAAGGACTTATGTTCCAGCGTTCCAATGTTTGTTATACACCCTTAAAGAAAGTGTCTTTTCAAATTGGTAGTAGTATGTTGGCCCAACGTTGGCCCGATGTTTGTAATGCACCCATAAAGAAAGTGTCTTATCAAGTGTGGTAGAAGAGGACAACGTTGGCAAGGTTTGTAATACACTTACAGAAAGTGTCTTATCAAGTTGGTCTTAGTATGACGCGCTCAACGTTGCAACAGTGTTTGTAATACATTACAGAAAGTGTCTTATCAAGTTGGTAGTAGTATGTTGGCCCAACGTTGGCCCAGTGTTTGTAATACACCCTTAAAGAAAGTGTCAACAAGTTGGTAGTAGTTTGTTGGCCCAACGTTGGCCCAATGTTTATAATACACCCTTAAAGAAAATGCCTAATCAAGTTGGTAATAGAATGTTGGCCCAACGTTGGCCCGGTTTTAGCAAGAATGTTATTTTGTTTAGATGTTTCAAAACAGATGGATATTTATATTGGGCAACGTCTCTAGCGCGGCTCAATTATTATAAAGCCAACTAAATGATAGTGTCAATTTCAGGAAAAGCTGCTGAGCTTTACAAAAAAACCTCGAGGAATCCAAATATTAATTTAGATGCACATTCTGAAATAAAAAAGAGAACATGCTATGTCCATGCTTTTCATTGGAAATACAAAGAATTTTGTTTAGATATGATCAAATTTTCAACATTTTAACTTTGAACTTAAGTGATCACAGCACCAAAGAGTGTTTTATTCTATTTTTTGAATTGTGTGCATACTTATTTATTTGTCATAAAACGCTTTAAATTATGATTTTTTTTATCATGAGCGTTGTATTCCTGAGAATTTAGAGAAACAATAAATTTTAGTGAAAAGTTCTCAAAATATATGAATACCAGAGGGCAAGACATCTGATGCCATCTTACATGATGAAAGTGTAATTATTGTTCAATTATATTATTATGCCAACGATGGTCCAACTTTGAATATTGATAATTGGTTATGTCATCATTGTTGTAAACTGTTGTTATATCATAAAACTATTTCATGAGAAAATATATGTTGGGGCATTGTCCACGCCGACACACCAATCGTGTAGCCCAAATACCAGTTTGAATCTTATAATAAATTATTAAATGAAGCATCCGACTTGTGTATATCGCGCCATTTTTAATCACGAGCGTAATGAGACTTATACCTTGCATATCTAGCCATCTTCTTCAACAAAATAAACTTTGGATTATGAATTATACTTGCATACAAATTGTCATCTAAAACGTTGCCTTTCAGAGAAAACAATAATTTCTGCATACATTAAATGTTTTCATTTTTTTTTATCAAAATGAGAGATTTTTTATTTTTATTATTTTTTTTATATAAATTTACAAAACCAGAATTTTCTTTAATTCATTTTTAAAAAGTCCCATTTTAACGTCAAGATCTTGTAAATGAAAGATGCCTACAGATCAATCAAGATTAATTCCTTTAATGATGGCTTATAAGTTAAGCTTGGTCAAGTTTCGGGGCATAATTTGTGGATAAAAAAAAATAAAATATGATATTTTAAACTGTCATTTCAAAAAAAATTTAAGAAAACCGCTTATAAATATTGGACTTTTTTCTAGATCAGGCAAAAGAAATATATTGGGCCAATGTTGGCAAAATTGTAGTTTGTATGTTTTTGCTCATCTTTAAAATGTTGTCATATATTAATATATATTTGGCCAATTTCACATGTATATAAAACATTTAATTGTTACAAATCTGTATATTAACAAATCCAATAGTCCCTACAGTCAAGTTTTAAATTTACTTTTAAGTATTATAATGAAAATACAAATTAGCTAAAATATATTTACAAGGCTTATTAAAATTCTTATAATTTATCAACTCAAAATAAATCATCAGTGATTGAATTTATTGTTTCTATACAAGAAAAATAAATGAAAGTATAAAATAACAAATGTGTTTTGATACACTTAAAACAATAAATAATTTGCCCTTATTTAGATTGAAATATGTGTCTTGTAGAATAAATTTCCGAAGTCTACCACGCATTTTACTTATATACTTAACGTCGAGCATATGATCAAACATGTTGACAATGTTGAACATGTTGAAGTTAAAACAAAATTTATTCAGTACTACACAACATAAATTTTGTTGTTTTTTAAAATTTGTTACTGTACTGCAAAAATTTTCTAAACATTTATTTTACTGTTGAATAATGATTTATATGGGGCAACATTGAATCAAAATCGGTGTGATGATGATGACCAGGACTTTGCAGAAATTTTATGTATATACTAAATGCCTTCATAAAATTAACCTTCATCACACCATGAAAAAAAAAACCTTTCCCTCAATTGACAGCTTAAACATATAGTGATATACTTGTAAATTTAATCGTATGAATCATTGAAAGTCAACAAATGTATAAAGTACCAAATACCAATTTTAGGTTTTTTTTGAAATTGAGAACACAATAAATTTCAAAGAATGGCATTTTTTTGGACATGGATGGGGGAGGAAGAAACAGAGAGAGAACCTCTGGAGACACCTCTGTTGTCTTAAAAAGAGGGATCAGATTGATAAGTGGCATGTCAACAAAACTTTTTATAAAAATATTGTTTTGTATGTATTGTCAATGATTTTTCTGTGTTGTTAAGCTGTCGGTAACAAACATTGTTCAGATGCCGGAAACATTTTGTGTGTAAAAAAACAAAATGGCCGTATATATTGAAACTATTTTAATATATATTTTAAATTTTGAGAGGGCTTTGTTTATTTTTTAGAAGTGCTTATTGATACCTGATATTTCTGAATTTTTTAAAAAAATTGACCAGAGAGGAAGTATCAGTCATGTAACCCTACATGTATTCTTGTAATTTGAGCATAAACTTTTTGTTCTTTTTTAATGTTTTCTTCATGCACTGAGCAATAAAATACTAGAATGTTATAATTTAATTTTATATTCTGATTTCTTTTTCCTCATTTTTTAATTAATGTAGAGCTACTAACAATGCAATACTTGCTGATGGTAATTCTATGAGATATTGTGAATATGTATTAAACTATTAATATCTAGCATATATAGTTTTAAATGGCTTTCACCATTAAACTGTACAACAAAATTTGCAAAATTTGTTAAACTTTTATATATTGTTTTTTTTGTAATTTTGTATTAATTGTCGAGTGAAGAGCAAATGAGTTGTCCATGGTGGATAGCCAATAATATAAAAACCAACGTTGGCCCAAAAATGGAACATTTTGTCTAATTTCCTGTTTACTAATATTATAAAGTTAAAAATATGGTATACAACAATAAGCCAACAAGTTTGTCTGATTAAGGGCCGATGAGCAAATTACCGTTGGCCCAACATTAATTGCTTACATTGGCCCAACTGTACAAAAATTTTCATTTGCCCAATATTGAAAAAAGCAGTCGGCACAACAGTGGCCCAATATTAACTGTAACATTGGCCCATCAATAAGCCAACAAGTTGGTTTGATTAAGGGCCGATGAGCAAATTACCGTTGGCCCAACATTAATTGCTGACAATGGCCCAACTGTACAAAATTGACGTTTGTCCAATATTGAGAGAATACAATGGCCCAACAGTGGCCCAATATTAACTGTTATATTGGCCCAAAATATAAACAAGTTGGTTTTTTGGGCCAAATCAAGTTACATGTATATCTTTATATATGTGGCCCAACATAAGGAGCATTGTTGGCCCAACAAATAAAAGAATTTATATAGTTCAAGCACTTGTTAATATAAAATTTAAATTTCCCGCACTGACAGGGATGGGCCCATGCCTCAGTATATATAGCAGAAAAACCGGTTAAACAAGGGGTACAAATTTACTGGCCAATGAGATTTTGTGAGTAGAATTCATGAATGGAGACTACTACCAAATATGGCATATAGTAAATTATGACTCAGTAAGTTATTCAATAAAGATAAAAAATTTATTTTAAATAAATATGACTCCGCCACATACTCCCCAGCTTTAAATTTAGCGTCTCGATAAATGAAAAATATATATTCTATCAAAATACATTTTTCAATAATAGCCACATACTCTCCAGAAAAATATACATATGAACATCAAAAGTAACAAAAAGTTTTTGCATAAGTAATAGCGTTATTTAGGAAACACATCTCGTCACATCACGGCGGTTTATGGTTTTCTGGCAGCCATCGTCTGACACGACACTAACGACATTTCCTGAAATATTCACAACACGATACACAGTAGAGTCCCATGAATCTTGAATTTTGTTTCTGCCGCGGATTTGACGGTTTCGAACGTACACTTTGTCATCAGTATTCAATTCCGGGTCAAAGGCTTTTCTGTCGTTGGTCAACTTCCTGTTTCTGGCCATCAGAGACGTATGATCACTTGCTTTGTTGAACGTGTACTTTAGTCGGTCCTGGTGAGATTTGATCCATTCGTCAGTCGTCATCTGATCATCATCATCAGTGTCCAAAGCTCCAAGTAGAAAATCGATGGGTATCTTGGGATGACGTCCAAACATAAGATAAAACGGGCTGTATCCGGTTGTTGAATTCTGTGTTGCGTTGTAGGAAAATAGTAATTCGGGCAGATGTTTTGGCCAATGTCGCTTTCGGTCAGGTGTAAGACTCTTCAATAAGTTGTGTAGGGTTCTATTAAATCTTTCGCACTGGGCGTTTCCTTCTGGGTGGTAAGGTGTGGTTCGAGTAACATGTAATTCCATACATCCTACACAGTTGAGCAATGATATTTGCTTCAAAATTTCGGCCTTGATCCGAATGAATACGATCG